CGAATTCTTCGAGTGTTCTTCCTACTCCCAAATGGTTTATCATGCCTTTAAACCGTAAAAACTTGTGGTCTATTGCTTTTATATTTTAATTCAGAAGACACGCGAAATTTCCACGAGTTTACTGGCACAATAAACCATAGCTGATTGACCAATCAGAGAGCGCGCATCCATTTAAATAATCATGTAATGGATTATGATAGATGTTCGCCTGAGAAGCTTTCCCCAATATTATTAATTTTCAAACATTAGACACGCATTTTCAGTTTTATTTAAGTATGGATCGAGTAAACCTGCACGAAAGCTACAAACGGTGCTCATTTTTACTGATATTCAACTTCAGTTTCTCGTTTAATATCATAGTTTATCAGACTTTATACCATGCCATAGAAAATACAGCCAATCAGAATACAGGAAAGCCGTTGTATATTCACGGTATTACACCCAACCTTCCCATCGTGCACTGCAGTGATTGTGTTGGTCACTGTATTTTCTATGGCACGGTATAAAATAGTTATGCAACACCCTCTCGTGGTATACAATGGGATATCACACTTGTCACTATTGTTTTGCTGGTATACACACTCGCCTCAGGGTTCGTGGGATATTCCATAGTACATCACTTGAAAGCGTTGTATAACTCGTATATATAATTGATTTCAATTTATTTTAGTTTGTCGTACAGCTGCAACATTTACGTACCTTAAACCTCATTGCTTTCAAATTGACTTGTTGAGAATATTACTTTAAATTAATGGCCTTCTATTGGTGTTTATAACACTACATGCAGTTCATTTTTGGTATTTAATTTACCTAATTGCAAAACTAAACACGAATGAAAACGGTTTATCTACTTTTCACTGCGCCGGATCTCTGAGCGATTTTTAAATTTGGTTTATCGTATAGCATGAATTTTAATCCCGTTATTATCGTATCGTCAAAACAAGACTATCTGAAGTGACATAAGTCGGCAAAGTATAAACGGTTTCTTATGGCGACTCGATTATAATTTTAAATTTTGTTCTGTTTTTGACTTAAACCAAACGTTATCATTCACCGACTTTTATTTTTCCGATAACTTGTCTTGACCAGTTTCTCGTGAGAGTTAAATAAACAAACAAGCAAGAAAGCTCGAAACATGCACTATTTAATTCCCGATTAAATCATTGCGTGCAAGCAAATTACTCTTCAGGTTTTACAACTGAGAAGCTTTGCTGTCTTATTCTCCGCCGGATTAGCTGCATTTCGCTGCTTTCCAATTGGTTTCACTCTGATAATTTTATTTCCCTTTCACTGATTGATTTTTAGCCTGGATTTCTTTGTAATTCGAATTCCGTGCGACAAACACACGCGCCGCACGACAAATGTAACTTCGAAGGTAGTTTATTTTTGAGGCTAGTGCTTTGGTTTTTAGCATGAACTCGCTGGGCGAGGTTTTCCGATGGGTTATCGCTACAACCTTCGATCAGGGGTTATAAGAACAACTGGTAACAGGTTCTTTTTGCTGTAATATCATGGGTGACAAATTACTCCTTAATTTTGGCGCAAAATTTCAGCGTTGCCAGGGTAACGTTTGGCGCGAAATTTCTCGATACAGTAAGCAAGCCAAAAGCTCACGATTCTAAGTGTAATTTGTCACCCATGACATTAAAAAGTAATCAAATAGTATACTCGTGTAATTACAAAATAATTTCCCTTGCATTGTGTCAAAATTCAAATAATTTCCCTTGCCTTGTTAAAATTTTGACAAAACGCCCGTAAAATTATTTCCTAATTTCACTGATCATCATTTGATTACCCATACTAATCGTCATAAAACATTTCAGTGCTCTATACATTTGCTATATTTACCCCCAGTCATTGGCAGCCCAACCTAAGGTTCGTTTCGATCCTCTGTTATATGCGCCCACTGATTTTGAGGCTGTATAAGGAAAGCGTCCTGTGCAATCTCTGGGAGTGATTTTAGTAACGAGACAATGAATACCATCGTTCCTAAATGAGTGGAAATTTTAATACTCAGACAGGTTATCTTACAGCTCTTAAGTTAATTTGTGAAGTTTCTTGAATCCTTGAACTTCCAAACAATACAACGCATGGTTTAAGTACAATTTTATGGGTTAGAACGTTCTGAAGCTCAAGAACTGTTGTGTGAAGGTATTGCATCTTTTTAGAAAACCGAGTTGCTAAAGCAAAAGGAAAAAAATTCAAGTAAAAGTTGAGGGACCAAATGAATATTAACTTTAAAATGGATCACTTTATAAAACCAAAACCCTTACAGTGGTGCCATTTCTTTAAAACTAAGGCCACCTGTCAAATTCTGCGTAGATTGAAAGAAAGCAAACTTTGGGAGATAAAAATAAATCTTGCGACAAATTAGTGCCAGTTTTTTGCATTGTTTCAACACTCAAACACCACTGAACAGTTCGGAGAGATTTTCCATGGGTGACCTTATTTAAAGTAATCGCACTCTTACAAGACTTGAGATACTTTTTTTTGATGAGCTGGTGAGAAATCTTTGAACTAACACAAACAACATGGGTTGCTTTTCCTAAAAGATAAATAATACCATATCGTATTGACCGGTTTAAAGAGAACAAAGCGAAACATACTTCATGATTGCTTTTTCTTAGCTGTTATTATAGAAGTAAATTATCCCTTAAAATTCATATACACTTTCAAACATTTACAATAATTATAAGGAAAAGAATTTAATATTGTACATTTTACTCTATAAACCACGAGTGAGTTAAATTAATTAAAACATATATTATAAACAACATTCTCTTTCCATGCTTGTATCCATACAATAAACTAAACTATTTTTGTTTCTAAATTTCTAATCTCGCTCGATAGTGGATCACGTGTTCACTTAACGAATTTGGCGTTTACACCAACACAACCAGTGTTTTCAGTCTTTGTGATAAGGGTTTTGTTGATCTATGACACTCGCTGTTGATTTTACGCGAACTATTAACATTGTAACAAAACAACTTATTGATATTGCAACATCAAACGCGAGTCTGTTATAATTCTTTGGGCATAATTTCACGGCTGAGACGATTTCCCTCTAATATGGGAACGTTTTCCAGTCCTTCCACACTGTCTTTGTCCACAGTATGGCCAGCGCCTGGCCAGTATTTTCAATTTTTGTCATTTTGGAGGCTAGACCGTTTTGGACAAGATCAGTTTTCGGTCACGACTGCAATCGGCTAAACTACATGGGACAAATAGATGCGTTTTAAATTTGTCCGGATAAGTGTGGATGGGGCGTCAAACGTTTGCGACACTTGTTCATGACAATTTTCCATAATGGAAATGAATAAAGATACTTTGTGCAATAAACAGGGATATTAAATGGTATTTGACTCATTATATTCCGACGAAACTAGATAGGAGCTATTCGAGTATCATCAGTCAGCGGCAGTACGCAAATTGAGATTGTATGTTATGTAATAAAGAAGACATTCAACAAAGTCGCCCTTAGACAGGTGAGAGTTTGAAGACAGATAGTCATACCTTCTCTAATAAATCCAAATATAGTAATTGCCAGTTAAAGCTAGCCAAAGAATGTGTCGAAAAAAACAATTCTCGCAGCGTACGTGATGGCTTTTAAAATATTCCTCAGCCGGAAAATTCCTAAACAAAACCCTTTATTATATACCGCCCACAATTCATAAATTGGTCCAAGAAAACAACAAACCTCTAAACAATAGCTTACGCTGGGTGGAGCAAGCTAGGAGGTCAGTGAAAACCACAAGATGAAACAACGTGAATCATTAAATATTAAGTAAGAATAGAGCTATTGCCACGTATTTCGTTGGATGATTTAAAACTTGCAGTTTTATGCCTAATTTACCGGCTGAATCGATCGCTAATACCCAGTCTACGTTACTTTCAGTTTTGGCGTCTCGCTTGCCTAAATGAGGAAAGTGGCGACTCATTAGGGAAAACTCAGGAAATTAATGTTATAAGAACTCAAAAGTTTTTGTAACGCGTCCTTACTAAAGAAGTTGTTAAAATTCCCGGAAACAAACTGCAGTGATTTCTTCCTCCCATTGCTAAAAGACCAAGGTCAGCGAGAACACATGCAGGGCATTTGCTAAGCCAAACCGCAGCTTAATCCATAAACGTGCGTTCATGGTGTTCACTTCCACACACTGTGCTTTCCTCCATAAATTGGTGTTAAATATAACTTTGTCTCTTTAAGTTTACAAATTGTTTTCTTTGACGTCAATGGAGTTCTCCCTATTTTCTGTACATACCGATAAGACTTTATAGCAGATTTTGCATTCGAAGACTGAGTGAGCGCCTTTTCCGAAGGGTGCTTTCATACCAACGGTGTGGCTTCCTTTTCCTTGTCGTATAACGTATTCCCGTTCATTTTTACGTTGTTCAGAATGAAGAATCCACATGAGATAACGAGGAACCATGGTTAACAAGGACCCATGCTGTGTGAGCAAGGTGCTTTTAAAACGCTCGCGCACAATTTACCATCTCAGCCGTCGACGGCGTATGTTTCAGGTGTCTTCTTCACCAATTTTTAATGTTTGATTGCATACCACAATGTCACAGTACTGCCATACAGGCCTCTTTAGAGTCGTGTAACACCAAGGACGCGCGCGTTTACCACGCGGATTACGGCAATAATTATGTTTGCCCAGTCCCTCTCTCGTAGGATTTCTCAATTTCTTTGTCTCCTCTGGATCATGCGGCCATCGTTCATTCCATGGTTGGCACATCACGCCTTTCTCAGTGTAGTTTAATTGCCCTCGATACTCTCGTCCATCTCCTGTTGTACTGTTGATGCAGATTTCTGGGACGAAGAAAAAGTCAGCTTTAGGATATGTTTAAACCAAGAGTCAGTTTGGAGAAAAATAATGGCCTCTTAGTCTTGTAGCAAATACATTGAAGTTAAATTTAGACACTGGTTCTTATCAAAATGATAAATATAATTTCTTATTATACTTAAAACAACTCAATTTTTCATTTGCCTAGTCTGTCCCCGTTAAGCGAAGATGTTCCTGCTTTTCATAAAATAAAATTTAAGGTAAAGTCTGTATGGGAGCCAAGTGGTCTATCAGGCCGGAGCTTATTCCGGTTTCTGCAGCATGGGAGGCGACTAAGAATATTTGTACTCCTCCCTTTGATAAGATGCTAGTCCACTGCAGGGTTACCCCCCAGCATTAAATTTTCCGGTAACTATTTGTACACCTGGGTGGAGAGAGGTACTGTGAGAGTAAAGTGTCTTGCCCAGGAATGCAACGCAATGTCCCCGGCCGGGGCTCGAACCCGGACCGCTCGATCTGGAGTCGAGCGCACTAACCATGAGGTTACCGCGACTCATAAGATAATCTCAAACTTATTCCAGTCAACTTACTTGATTCCTCTGAAGGAATTTTATTACAGTTGTACATGGCATGGACCTGTGCAACATCAATCCAAGATAGACTCTTGCGCTGACCAATCTGGGCTCCGATCTTTTTCCCTTTCTTGCGAATTTTAATGGTTGCTTTGCCGTTTGAACTGAAAAACTTCGTCCCGTAATGCATAATAGAGAAATAGTCATATTCATAGCCCATGGAATCCATCACTTTTCTCGGCATCTTATCTGTAAAGAGTTGCATCATTTCGTGATGAACTTAAGGTATCTATAAACATTACGCCAAGAAATAGTATAATTGGTAGTTCTCGTTTTCGTTATCATCTAAGCAATGTTGCTGCAAATGTTGCTTAACTTTTAAAGTGGTACATACGCTTAGCTACAACTATAGCTAGTTCTCAGGCATGCCACTTAAACTGAAAGAAAAAAGTATTTCAAATAAACGTAAAAGGCTTAAAAATCCCAAATAGGCCTAACAGTAGGCAGACCAGTTGGCTATTTACAACCAGGACTGAGAAGTTGAACCAGGGTTACCCGAGAAACAACTCCAGCTTAGTGGTCATAGCAGAACTTGAACCCACGAGTTGTCGACCTCCGGATATCAAGCCCCGCGCCCTAACCACTCGGCCACCATGCTGCCTCCATGTTGTGAGAGAAATCAAATCCTGCTCACTCTTAGGAATACCCTTACTTTTACTGCTCTTGCTGTTAAGATAACAAGTGTGTAGATACTTACTGAACTGGTCAACTGCGTTAGTTTGGATATTTTCCTTGAGTATCCGAATATAGTGATCGCGATCCTGTCTGCTCTGCTCGTGCCAAAAACCAACAGCATGACCAATCTCGTGGATTATGGTTCCCATGAACTCACATCCAGGACCTATTGAAACCTTCTGCTCACTTCCTGCTCGACCGACATACGACCAACATCTGCGAATAATGGAGTCGTTGCTTTTAATCCAATGGCTTCAACAACTGATAAACTACTAACATAAACTTCTAATAAGGGCAAACATAACTGATGATTGTAGTTATCTAACAACTGCTCTGAGAAGACCTGAGCAGAATGTAATGTAAAGCAAACCCCCTAACGACGAGAAAAGGCAACGAGAACGCCATCAAACAAAACATTTAATGAGCAGTACGATGGCTGTGCACGTGCTTTATAAGTCCTTGTGTATTTCATAGCCGTCCTCTGCAAAACAACGACGTTAAATAACCAAGTTCTGGGTATTTTGCAGAGCGTGAGCGACGACGACTAGTTTTTCGTATTTTGTTTTGGTTTGATCGCTGGCGTTACACATTTAGTTTGAAATGTAAATCCATTTTTTACTAGGCGTCGTCCAGGGCGTCTTCGTCCTCATTGCTTGAGCTCCCTATCGCTTATCGGCCAAACATTAACTCGACCTTGTCTAAAAGACATTTTTACGCTTTGATACGCTTACATAACATTTAGAAAGTTTGATACTTTGCTAACTCCCTGAGAAAACAAGCAGTGTTAAGAGTTAATCCGCCTGAGCAGCAGTTACATCTGATAGTCCGGGATTACTTACTCTTGTTTGAGGAGCAGCAGAAAAGTAAGTAAGTAAGAAAAACTTAATTTAGCCAGGGTGGCCCATTCAGCACGATAAAAAAAGATATTAATCGGTCTGAAAAGAGATTATCAGAGTTGATCTTATACAGAGAACTTCAAACCTTTTAAAATAAAGCCATCTATGAAGAAGGTCAGTTTTCTATTTATAGTCCTTGTTTTCTTTATAGAAAATTGAGGCAAGGCAATGTTTTAGCAAGGTCTAAATCTGCGGAGTGCTATTCCTTGGATCAGTTACTATCGTCTCTGCGTCTGATGTAAAAGAAAGGCTTTAAAATTCCGCGCGACATGTGTGGCGTTTTCAGGGCCTTAACCAATATGAGGCAAACCGAGGCACTTGCCTCAATCATTTTTTTCGTTTTTGTGGTTTCTTTTTTGAAGGGGGAAAGTAAAAAAAACTACTAAATACCTACAGGAAGAGAATTTAACCATGAACATTCCCTCTGTCATAATATTTTTTGGTTACAGCCCTGTTTTTCACTGTCCTCCTAAGCTATCGACGTCATCAATGTGAAAGTGCATTAGCACACATATAGCCGTCAAGGAAAACAAGCAATTAAATTACACAAACCAAATCTTTTACAGGCGAAAAACACTATGAGTGAGAAACAGGATTGAAATTTCCAGAGTTCAGTCAGCGTGGATTATGAATAAAACGTATCTTTTGTATCGTAACGTATCATTTTTACCCGCGTAACGTACCGTTTGCGTACGTTCACCACCAGCTTATCAAGTTCATTCAGTTGTGCTCATCCAGTCAATTATAATTTCAAATTATTATCAAAAAAAAAAATGGACGTCTGCCTGTTCTTCTGTCTTTATGTCAAAACATGTCTACAGACACCACGAGGCGACATCTTCGTGTATTCGCAGCTGCTTCCACTTGTTAGAAAATAGACAAACAAACTAATTTCTTCATTTCAAGTCGATGTGTAATGCTTGGCACCGAAAAAAAAAATTGTAATTTTATGCGGAAAATAACTGAGAAGACCTGCTATGCATATATCATGAAATTAATTAGATGTATAGGTTTAGGTCTCATTGGGAAAAATGTTTTCCAAACTGCCTTACTTTGATATTGGAGGCTTCAACGGCTTCATGCAGTTAAAAGTAGCTGAACTTTGGAACTCAGCACTGAATAGGTCCGTCAGCAAATGACAAGTAGAACAGTATCTACCCGTAAAGCACAACGTGACGTATTACCCAAGTTATTTTTTTCACCGCTTCAAGTTATATAATACTTTCATCATGTTAAACATCGTGATTACTTTGCCAGCCGTGTGATCACGGGGACTATTAACAACTAGTGTAGATCGTAAGTAAGATTCTAAGGAGGTTGCCATGTTTTATGCATTAATTTGCACTCTGTCGAGTGAAGTTTTGTAATAGCTAAATAAAGATACTTATTCATCAGTCAAGAAAAGGAAACTCATGCCTAAGAATGTAGATCTTTCTGTTTGATATCATCTGAATAGGTGTAACTTTATCAGCCGTGTAATGCCAAGTTGTTTTACATAACCTTCTGTCAAAACAGATAAAAAGGCACGCGGTTGAGACAATAGTAATATTTTCGTCCCCTTTGGAGTCCAGCCAATCGAATAACTTCCTCGGAGCTGGAAATCATATGAAAAATTTCCACATATGCTTCAAGGCTTTGATTAACTTGATGAAAGTAATTAGATATGGTTTCAAAGTGGTCAACTAAAACACTTCGTTTTGCTGCTCGAAATGGTAAAAACAATTCATGAATTATTGAAACACTTAACGATGCTTTCACGAAAAAAGTTCTAGAACCCTCACTACCACTTTGAAACGATAAAAATCAGCTAGCGTTCATTACCTTACATTGTATCTAAAAAAAGCCAAGAGAGGATCATTCGATGTTCGTGACATTAGACGCGTAACAGCTCATGTTTTTGGCAAGAGAAACTGTTGACAAAACATAAGTGGTCATCAGTCTTGCTGGCGACTCCACGTGAACAACGATTTCTCCACGTGTCCACCAGACAAGAGTACACCACAAGCTCTGTTTGAGGTCAATGATTGGTTCAGTGGACATTTCAAGGAAGTGGGGCACAAAGTTGTTTACAAAGTAGCATTTGACGAACGACGTTTTTTTTTTTGTAGTAATGCCTATTTGCCATAATCGGTGTTTTACTCAAAAATGAAGGCTAGATTGGTGCAAAAATACCGAAGAGGTCACGGGAACTGGCTACCTCTTTCACTTGTGTATACGAATTTGTTGAACATTTCAAGACTAATGAAGCTACTTTGTAAATTGCTTTCATTCCTTGCTTGATTTCAATTAGTCGTCGTTTTGAAGTCCGTTATCGGCATTGGTGGCTAAGTTGCAGTTTAGCGGTGTCTTAAAGTTCGTTAACACTTCTTATTATCCGTTTTGCTAAGGGAGAAAACCTAATTGGGGGTTCATACTCGCAAAAGACAACGAAAATATCATTCACAAGTCGCTCTTGAGCGGTCGCTAAATGTCACAAGGTAATTTTAAGTCCTGATAAAACTTTTCATTATTATTGACATTTGTAAACAATAGAAAAACTGTCAAATGTTTGTTTGTAGTTAATTCCACACCCCAGCAGCAAATCACGGCCGTTCGCCATTCAAAGTTGGTTTTATCGTCTGGGCAATTAATCAAACCATTTCTTTATCTTGCTGTCTCTTCTAATGTTCGGCCATTGTAAGTTGCTATTCATGTTTTCTCTTTTTATGTTTGCTTTCAAAGCAAGAAGGAAAACTAAAACAACACTACAATCAATACTTTTCCGGTGTGTGCAGCGCTTTGCCAGTTACGACGCTTATTGCTGACCACACTTGAATGAGTTAATTAACGATATAAATGTCATCGAGTTTCCGGACTCTATCGTTTTCTTCTTGTCACCGAGAAGATGTGTTAATGAGTTGGCAAATTAGAGTGTAAACCATTGAAATATTTTAGCTTTTTGTGTGGTCCGCTCCTCGATAATGTCGTTTGCGAGTAGACCGTGAACAACGTTTACCAAAGTCCAACCATATTTAAAACGAAATCAAGGATAAAAGAGCACGCTAAGAGCTTGCTGAAAGGAGTAATTACCCTTGGCATAGCAAACTTCCTCACCCTTGCAGCTTTTACAATACCCTTTTTGATGGTAACATTTAGTGGATAGCTTCCCATTGTGCAAGTATTTAGAGTAACCGGAAAGCAAGGAATACTTCATGAATATTTCAGTCAAAGTAAGGGACACTAATAATCCTTACCCAGGTTCGTAAACAAAGCGAATATAATCTACATCGCTGTCTCTCTTGTGCCGGAAATGCAGACACGTCTTTTTCTTCCAGTGTCTCAGGGCTTTTCTGATTTCTTTCTTCGTTTTCATGGCTACAAGAAAGCGGCAACAAAGACAAGGTGAAACACGGTATATTGAGTAGTTTTATATCGTAATTAAATTAAAATTGACGGCAATGGGGTCATTGTTGATAGAGAAGAATACAGCATCAATTACTGTTCCACGTAGCTCCGCCTTCATGCATACACACACTCAATGAAATTGGAAACTGTGTGCTCTGCCGTGGGTTCCCACTCATCCTATCGACCCTGTTATCGCTATCGCTTAAAATATTCAATGTCAGCACAAACTTCATTGGAAATTAAGCAGCACAATGACAGGCTATTGTCTCAACTCTAACCTTCTCTACTTCGACATCCTAATGACTACATTACGTCGTGTGATTAATTGCTCAAGTCACATATATCCACTACACATATTTACAGAGAAATGCATTCTGAGTTCTTTTGATAGCAAAAATTTCAACCGTTTGCACTTTTTCGTGACGTTAGCGCTTGTAAAAAGTTTTTAGAGCGCTCAAACTGGATAGGACCGAGAGTCTTGAAGCTAAAAGAGCTTCGGCCCGACTTGACGGTCGAAAGAGGGTCGCAATTTACGATGGAACATTCCCATAAGTCTTTTGTACATAAATTGTCGCGTGGGTTGAGGTAGTCCAGTCAACTCATGGAGAGTAGTAAAAATACAGCCATAATACTGCAACCCTATTCGCTCTGAGACTTGAGGTTTATTTGCGGTGGATTAAAATACTTCATTTGCACTAAAAATCCTAATAACATGGCAAAATTGCTTTCTTACGCTAGTGACACTTGGCTCGGATTGTTGTTTACTATCAAGCGAGAGAGCGTTACTTTTCTACAGTCAACTCTTCGGTTCTCGCGAGCTTTAGCGCAATGCAGGAGAAAAGAATTTGGTCGGAAAAAGTTCTGTGAACTCGGACATAGTTTTCAGCTTACCTAAGTCTCTGTCTACGACGTAAGGAATCTCTCCGTTTGGCCATCGCGAGCTCTGTAATTTTTTAACGGCTCGCTTTCTTCGGAGATGTCCTCCACGGATCAGAAGGCGTGTTCTCATGTCTAAAACGATGTCTCCCTCGTAAAGAGTCCAACCGTCAAAAGACGCCGCCTCACCTGCAAAGATGTCCATTTGTTAGATGTTACAAGGTTAATTATGCCCAGGGGAAAAAACCAGCTAAAAAGGATAGATCCCGCTCTTTTTCAAAAGCCGTCAACTTGGCCAAAACGTATTCCGCGGCGCTTGACACGGTCTGCGTGCGATTTACTTTTGCGGTTAATATGCAAGAGGACAAGCGGCAAATCAAAGGATTTTATGCAAGTACGGAGACATAAGCACAGTGATTCAAAGGACGACAGAAGTCGTGCACACCTTTACGGTCAATCAATTCTTGATTCACTTCCCAGGGCTCGAGAGGTTCCGAGTTAGCGGCAAGTACAGGAGTTCTCTTTTTGTCGTCGACTGGGAAAACAGGTATGGCGGAAAGGTAGACAACGTGAACGAGCATAAAACCAAGAGAGATTCGGTGAACAAACATGGCTCCTGTGCCTTACGGTAGCATATGGTACGATTTCAAATCAATGAGAAAGGTTTGCGCCGTATTCAAGATTCAGTTTGCGTAGTGGCGTCACAGGCATTCCATTTAAATAGCCTCTATATATGAATCGGATGATGTGGGCGGTATTACTAGTTAAACAGAAACACCAATGTCAGTCATTTCAAGCTGTGACTTACAAACAACCTAATTTGACAGTCAATTACAATTTACACTCGGCTCGGCTGGTGTTGGCCGACATGGAATTATGGCTTAGTTTTGTCGCACTGCTTTTCGCTGCTTTCGTGTAGGTTGGCGATAAGAAAATCGGCAAAACGTCCCGGAAACGTTGAACTGGAGTCTTGGGCTTCAAAAAGATCTCTGGCATGCGATGGAAGTGATTTAACTCATTTCCTTGTGGGATTACGAGAAGCCGATAACGTCCTGTGGCGCTGAACAGTAGAAGGCCATTATCACTGCATAATACCAGCCGCGTGAAGTTCTTGTTTTGCCAGCACGGTTTGTACTCCTGTGAGAGCAAAGCGGTTAGGATGTGCTCATTTTGGTTTTGCCTTCGTCAGCCACGCTGGGGCTTAAGGACAACCGCAAAACGGACGTACGACTGTACGGGCACGGAACAATCTGGGAAATATCAAAAGATTTAAATCGGCGGCCTCAAGAGCTAGCGGCAGTGATTCTTTTAAGGCTTGAAATCGGTCAATTGGGTAACATTTACCGTGACCACCAGAGTGTGGAGAGTTAAAGTAGTGCAGCAGTGAGGACACAATAGCAGTAATTTTAAGATGACCTCGGTGTTTATATACTGCAGTGACAGTTGGACGACTAATAAAACACGCAAACCAATGGGCATTGTCAACAGCAATTACAGTTTATCTTCGCTTGTATCGCAGCATCGTGCACACTATTCGAGCAGTTTGCGTCACTTTGGTGACTTAAAACCCCGAGGGAACAGTGCAACGACAACAGTAAAGGGAAAACGAAGATAACGTGAGAGCTCACACGTGGTTTTAATTCCACATTTTCACGCTGTTAACTCCAGTACAGCCCCCCGCGTTAACAAACTTTGAGTCCCCTTCAAACGCGTATCGGGCGACTCCAACAGGAGAGGAATTTTGCCTAATCTCACGAAACGATCCAAGGGCGTAATTTTGCTTTTAAGCGCGTTTGCCGTTGCGTATTCCGACGAAAGTTTTCCACAGCAGTTTAATTTACATTTACGTGCTGGAGGAATGTAGCTAACGCTTTTGTTTGACTAGGTCTTCTTTACACGGGTAGCGCGCTGTTCAGGTGCGAAATAAAACGTTTGTTAAGCTAGTCACGTAGACTCGTGTTCCTCACGTACCTTAACGAGGTAGAAGGTTCGAGAATTTGTGTAAAACTAAACTACAGAGAGTCAGGCACATTACAACGGAACATTATCTGAAATTAGTGATCAGTGCTTTTGTTGTGTGGTCTTCACGTTCTTGCTGATTGACTTAAGTATGTGATAAATTACTAAAGTGTTGAGCTGTTAATGGATATGTAATCATCTTTCTTATAAGCGCGAGCTTAAATGTTCTTCAACTTGCCTATTTTTCAACAATCATCGTAATTTTTCTTCTGTTTAAATCTTAATTTTCAAACTAATATTCGATTCGCTCATGTAGAAAACACATTCTGAATTTCCTAAGAAACTAATGTAAACGCGTGCATTGCATTGCATAAATACTTAACGTGTTATGACTTCACTTTACGAAATCAGTTCAGCGGGTAAAATAACTGGCAAGATTAAGACTTAAGATAATGAGCTGAATGAGTCACGGAAATCCGAAATCCTTCAAGCCTAAGAAGCTTTACATTTTTTCTATCCTTTCACGCCGAGCGTAATTTTAAAAGATTTTTGAAATGGCACTGTTTCCCGTTGTCTTTTAAAATGTCTTCAAAACATCATCCTACTTAGATGTGTCTTTCTCATTAACATTGCATTGCGTAATTCGTATTTATTTTTCAGTGCTTACTGTGCTTAAGGTAGCAATAAAACTGATACGGTCTTGCCTTTAAGTGAAGTTAACATCGCTAGTGTGTTAGCTTTGGGGGATGTGAAACTAGCAGATGGCCTCCACTTTTGTAGATAACAAGACCCTGATCTGGAGGCGATAAAACCCTTGTGAAAACATATGGCCAGTTAGTCTAGGGGCCTTTGTATGTTTTACTACCTTAACTTGTAATTGTCATGTCAAGAAAGTATATTTTGGGTGGATTAGCCCTGTAGTCGCTTGGCAGGGATTCCTTTTGTAAATATCAATTATTGAGCTATAAATGTCATCCAATGAGATGCGTGCCTCCCAATTCGCTAGAAATCCTGTTTGAATAAGTTCTGTCTTTCTAATGTGCCTAAGGTCCGACTTATTTGGTAGAACTGATAAAGTCGAAGCTATGGCTAACTGGAGCTTCAGTGGAAAGATGTTACAGGAAAATGTTTTTCCACGTGGTAATAGCTTGCTTTCGTATCTTATCGAAATAAACAAATTTAATTTCCTGCTGAGTATTGTATGTTAGTTTACCTCATGAAAGAATAGCTGAGAATTAAGTTCACAGTTCATGACCAAAGGTAAACTTTTTCACTCCTCGTAAAGACAAGGAGTTATTTTCCGTGCAGGGGAACAATAGAAATATATTAAAAACGGGCGTTGATCAATCTCTTTTTGTTTCCTGGGCTGTCAGGTTTGTGATGCAACAGGTCTTACGGGATGCGGGATTTTAAGCTTGTTAGTGATGTTGACAAAGGTCTGCCTTTCTGGTCGAACTGGGGCACACTGACCCGCACAGCCACAGTTCAAGGTTTCCGGCCGCAGCGGGAAACAACCAGAAGCAGCAGTGTCACATTTTTGAATTCCATTTTTTAAAAAAAGAAAACCCTTTAGCAACTTCTGCTTCTACTTCTACTTCTGCTCTAAATGCAACTTTACAATGCACCCACTTTTATGCTAACTCTAGCTATGCCCGGGACTCAAGCCAAGGGTAAATCGGGCGTAATTAGTGCAGGGGCTTTGTCACCAATCTACATGATACATGGCCAGTTCTATGTTGCGTCTTCTGATTTTTCGAATACTCGATCACAGTTTTTCGAAGCTCCCTATTCTTCGCACCATAAGACGTTTCCCTCTACTCAGTCCAACGCTAAGTTTATCCCCTATTTCTCGACTCTCAGAAACACACCTTATTTAAGAACGAAAGGGCTCAAAACGCATTACCCCTGGGGGAAACACATACTTGATATAGCTTACGTAACTTAAAAGGGAGTAACCCCTTCTCCCACGAATGAGCGCTTTCTACTGTTTAAAAATAAAGACAAATAAATTTACAATATCTAGAGAGGAAGCCACATCAGCCTTATCTTTTTTTCATGGTCGAATTAGAATTTGGAGATGTTGGTTTTTGCGGAGGACGGAAAACCGTAGAACCCGGAGAAAAACCCTCGGAGCAAGGCGAGAACCAACAACAAACTCAGCCCACACTTTGGCACCGGGCCGGAATCGAACCCGGACTACATTGGTGTATGGGAGGCGAGCGCTCTCAGTTTTGCACCATGCCTGTTTCCAATCCTGTTTGAGTGACAAACCTCTATCAATCGATTTTTATACACACCGAGCACAGGAAACCCTGGAAGAAGGCAATACGAGACGCATGCTAACATCCTATTGACTTCTTAACAAAAATAAATATCGAGTTGTCAGAATGCGTGCTACTCAGTTCACTAATGCACAGCAGAGACCGACGGGCTTTCTGTTTGTTGTCAAACATTTTAGATACGATCACTAGCTCTTCAGTTTTATCAGGGTCAGAAATGTTCATAAATAATATCTTAAGTGCAGCCATCAGATTATGCTGATAATCTGTTTAAATTCCTAAGATTTTTAGTTGTAAGTGCGCTTGAACCTGCATCGTTTCGGGTTAAGAGTGGCACGCCGTAGATGGGAGAAAGTTTAAATGCAATTGTGTGGGCCAAATGGACTCAACTTTAATTAAAGCAAATCGTTTGATTAAAAGCTGTAAGATGCTAATTCAACACAAATATACTGGTGACATCCTACAAATTTTGTTGGGTTTTTGTTGCCTGTGTCATGTAGCAGAGATATCTAAGAAGGTATCAACTAAACAAACTTTCGTAAGTACCTATAAAGAGCAAACGTTCCGACCAAAGACCTTGCAACATTTACGCCTGGTTTTACATCGTGCAATTGTGTTCGTACTGTAACGGAATACACATGCGCAGTCTTCCACCATGGGCTCCCTGTGCATCTCACTGTCTACAGAAGCGCGAATCTACAATGACGCTATATCTGCAGCACACCTAAGTAGCCTTGAGATCGCCGTAATACTATATCAGCTAAGCTTTCTGCTGATGTATTTAGCAACCAAGATCACAATCTACTTTACCTTTTACCCGGCTCCGCCGAGTACGTGTGCTAAGAATTTTCAGTGTGTGGCTTCCTCCCTAAATATTATAATTAATTTTATTTTAATTTCATTGCCTATATGTATTAAAAACGAAGAGAATGCGGAACTATACACAGATAGCCATTGTAAATAAGACGATGGTTGATTTGATTTCTGTGTGCTGGATATGTTTTTCTTTATCCATATATGTTTAGCCTTTGTAAATAAGACGTCGGTACGTTGTTTCAGTTTAGTTTGATATATTTTCCTTATGTATGATTATCTTTTGTAAAGCTTTCACATAATTCATTCTTGCACAGCAAGAGTTGGAACTCGGTAAAGCATCTTTCGTTTTCGTTTTTTGTTAGTACTTTTTGGCCTTTTTTCAGTGTTTTAGAAGCACACAAAGAAATGTTGAAGCGGTAGTCAGTTACAATGGATCTAATTAAATTAGAAAAACTCAGAAACCATCTTGGTGTGTGTGCATGAATCGAACTGGGCGACTAGGCGCTAGACGCAAGAAATGTATAAGCCAGGCTCTAGTCGGTGAAAGTACTGCAATGAAGAAAAAACGTGACTGGAATTATGGAATGTTCTGGATTTTACTTTGAGTGTTGCCGAGGGATTAACTAGTGCCTAACAACTTATTGTGGATATTTTCACGGCACCGTGTTAGAACGGAATGTCGAAATATCAAATGAAAACCCACGATCTAACTGGACACGTCTTTTGCCAGTAGTACTTAACTCTAGTTTATTCTTCTTTGTAACGAAATAATCTTTTTCACAACAAGGAGAGAACAACGAATACAAAGAGGTTAGAGATTCGATAGAGGCAGAGAGAGAGAATTCGAAGGGTTCAATCCGGTTATGGTTTTAGGACTTCATCCGCCTGCCCGGAGTTGGTTTGTTTTAAAATCGTCTTAAAATACTACTTGTAAGAACGCTTCTTGATGTTGTGGAACGCAAATATCCCTTACCAGAATAGTCGCGCTTATTTTTATAACACGAAACTTATCCTTGAATAAATAGAGTCCCAAACTCAGCAATGTCAGTTTAAACAAGGGATTACTAGTGATATTTTAATATACCACGAAACTAGACAGCCCTGTCAGTTTAATCCATGAATGCATCATTGTTGTGGTTGGCTTATTATTCGAGTAATTTTAGTTTTACCCCGATGGCGTCCAAGACCATTGTTTTCTGGGCTATCCACATGTCGGAGCTCCGCGTTTTCAACAGCTACAGAGTTTGGAAAAACGAACAACCCAGTCTTATAAAATCTGGGATATTTTCTCGGCGCGGGCTGCCTAAGTGGGTAATAATACTTTCATGCGAGAGGTCACATGCTTGATATGCAACACAGCCTATGGAGAAAGAAAGCAGTATCATATCGGTTGCTTATGGTACAAATTCAATTCCATTCATATATGCGCATGCGTAGAAGCTTACATTTTGTTTTTTGAATGATCAATTTTCAAAGGAAAATCCTAAAGTAGACAATAACTAGTTACTCTGAAAAGCAGCCTTTTGGTTTCTATTCTGTCAAACAGTAGTGGAAAGGGTAACATGCAATGGACTAAACCCATTCGGTGCTGGAAGTGCCGGCCCTTTTGTTAAACATTAGGACGGTAAGCCAAAACACGGTTCTGTTTACACGAGAGCTCAAATCTCAGATGAACGTGAATGGTGCTAAATGCTTGAAGTGGATAAGGCACGCTGCTACCCTCTTGCAGGTCTACTGATGCTGCAAATGAATCGTCGAAACGGCCGCCGTTTTAGCTTTAATTGCCTCATCAAAATGTCTTGCTTGGTTGAATGTAGAACTTTCGGCGAAAGTTCTACGGCCGGAAAAAATACTCGAAACTGACGTCATTTAGGATTAATTAATTTAGTTGATTTGTTTTCCATAACGTTGTGTTTTTTCCTTGTCTCAGTGAATGTCGCGCCTCAATAATATCTCCCATCTTCGGCCGCATATTTACATCATAACCGATCAAAATAGCAAAAATGGTTAATTGCTATCATTTTTAAAATTCCTAAGATTTCTTTACTTATAAGTGTAAGTGGATTCTATTTGTTTAAAATCATTTTATTTTGATTTATCTTGCCGCGCACGGCAAGTGAGCAAACATAATCACGACACCGACGTGCTCCATAAAGAACTTCTTATGAAATAACCGCACGCTGATATAGCGAAGGTTCTTCTCAAGAGAAAATTTTCTCTTGTTCTTCTACATTATTTTTGCCACATTATAACGGTGCGTTGAATTTGTTTAGCGATTTGTTTGTAGCTGTTCTCCCTTATTCCGGCTAATAGCACCAAGTTAACGACTGGATTTTTCAGTGTCATGATTTTTTGACTTTGAGCTGGTTACTCTGTAATATTCAAATGGAAGCGGCCTTCTTTGGAGTCAGCTAACGAGCAGAGATACTTAATTATCTAATTTGTTATTGAAAAAAGATCAATCTTTGTGGTGAATTTTAAGCTATGCAGGCAGCCTGACGGCTGGGTTGTTTTCCTTCCTTGTTGGTATGCCGGGATATAATGGATCGATTACACAGTTGTTCTATTCCGAGACACCTTTGAGCTAGGAAGACTAGGAAATCTTACTGGGACAAGGTCTAAATTTCAATAATATTTCTTTTTTTTTTTCACGCCGGTTAACTTGAAGTTCTGTTTTTCAATGGACTCTTGGAAGTAATTGCACTCGGCTTTCTTTAATGTTACCTTTCGAGAATTCAAGATGCAAGGAACGCTTCCGAGTTATTACATGGATGATTGGTTATAGGAGAAAGGTAAAGTTCTCCGCGGAATTTGTGTAGACGCGGGACCAGCCGATCGTCTGTTTTGCTTCGTTATCTCCCGCCTGAAGCTTCCTTCCTCTTGACTTCACATCTAAAACGGTTCAAGTTTCTTTTACATGCCCATATTTGGTCTGACATATTAGGAAATATCTGTAAGCAGCAAATTCTTGAACGACTAAAGTTTGATCTATGAAGGAGTAAAGTGTGAGTGGAAGAAACAAGCCGCTAATTTTCGTGGTCGATGGTCGAGGCTCTTGCGAGATTTATGCCCGTACGCCTTATCTCTCTAGACCGCCCGTTTTTTTCCTATTCCTAGGTAAAAGTAGGATTGTAGGAGGCGGTACTCTCGCCTGCATGGACCTGCATGTAGTTTCACCAGAGGCGTTAAAACTGTCTATTATCAGAGGTTTATGATTAATTCGAGGCGGCGTGTTTGAACGCCATTGACTTGTGAGTGAAAGCAATTCTTTGCGAGGCAATTCTTTGCAAATTCTTAGCGAGGTCTAGCCTTGTAAAGATTTCTTTCCGAATAAAGCTAGAAGAAATCTGCCGCTACGGAACAGCATCTATAAGCGCCAGTCCGGCTCGCTTAACTAAAGTTTGCGGCTAAAAACGTTCATTCTTATTGCTTAGCAAGAAGCCGGGACTGGCTTTCAACCAACGTTTTGATGAAGTTTTTGTCTGCATTCTCTCAGTAAATTCAAAAGAACAAAATACGGTATACGGTAACGAAAACTGGCTTAGGTCGGTAGCCCTCTGAAGCCGAGTTGAGGGAACGCTTAGAAGTAAAACTACAAGCCTTAATATAATACTTTTCATCAACCGCTTCTTCTGGATAAGCTTAAGTCTAAATTATTTGAATGACCTTCGCGTCGTTCAGTAGATATTGTCAAACCATTTTTAAAATAAAACTTGTCTTCTAACCATCGCATTTTTGGGGTTCTGTTTGTGTTAATGTGCCGAATAAATCTTATTCAAAAAGTGTCAATGTTTTAATGAAAGAAGAAACTATGAAACCCCTAATTAATAGGCTTGTAATAACTTCTTTCATGCTGCCAGCAGAGCCTTTTCTTACGGTACATATAAAAAAGAGATAAAGTAGAAAGAGATAAAAAAAAGGGCTCTGCTCGCAATCTCAGTATGAAAATGATGTGAG